TTCTTACCTTCTTCACTGATACTAACAAATCAGGTAAGGCTGGTTATAAAGCAGGTGAGGTAAGTAAAGTAGTTCAAACTCCATACACATCTGTACAGAAGGCAAAATTATATGCAATTCTCATGGTGCTTACGGATTTCACAGAACCTCTTAACATAGTTACTGATTCCCAATATGCAGAGAGAGTCGTCTTGCATATAGAGACCACAGAATTCGTCCCGGATAATACTGAGCTAACCGCGTTGCTTTTACATTTACAGGAAACAATCAGAAACAGAAGTAATCGTCTGTACATTATGCATATCAGATCCCATACGGGTCTGCTGGACCCACTAACACAAGGCAATGATGAGATTGATCATTTATTAATTGGCACTGTGCTAGAAGACTAAGAAGTTCATAAAAAGCATCATGTAAATAGCAAAGGTTTAAAGGACTTCTCCATCACTTTGCAACAAGCCAAGGAGAAGGTGAGAAGCTGCCCTACTTGTTCCTTTTATAACCAAACTCCGCTACCAACAGGCTGGAATCCTAAAGGCATTCAGAGGAATGAGATCTGGCAAATGGACATCTTTCACTTTACAGAATTTGGAAATTTGAAATATGTGCATCATATTATTGACACATTCTCAGGTTTCCAAGCGGCTACTGCTCTCAACTCTGAAAAAGCTGATTCCGTTATTACACACCTACTAGAGGTGATGGCAGTTATGGGCATACCTGCACAGATGAAAACTGACAATGCTCCAGCATATGTCCCCACAAAAATGGAATAGTTCTTCAAATATTATAACATAAAGCATGTCACAGGTATACCACACAATCCTACAGGAAGAGAAGTTGTTGAGAGTTCTAATAGGACGCTTAAGGAGATGCTCCATAGGCAAGCTGATTAGTCAAAACCCCCCAAACATAGGTTACATAATGCTTTATTGACACTATTCTTTCTTAATGCCTATGACAAAGGACAAACAGCTGTGGAAAGACACTGGACTGTGGAAAAACCTGCTGAACTGAATCAACCAGTGTACTTCAAAGATGTACTGACCTCGGTATGGAAACCCGGACATGTGTTAGGTTGGGGTAGGGGTTTTGCATTGGTTTCCACAGGATAAGAAAAATTTTGGATACCATCAAAATTGATCAAGATTTGATTTGAAAAAGACAACCCTCTCGACAAGGATGACTGACAGGTATTCACTGAGGTACATATCATGAACTAAATGAAAGCCTCCCAAAGGAATGGGAAGTGCTTTGTTTTTATCTTCATAGAGAAACTCACCTCCAGAAGTCAAAGGACACTGCATGGGTAGATACTTAAAGGAAAGAAGGTAGCTATAACCATCAAAAAAAAAAAAAAAAAAAAAAAAGGAACATGCCATATGGGAAACTTTACAGCCGTCTCTCAAATGACTCTATTTCTCTTCATTTCCTAGTCCCTATTCAATTAAATCGATGCTGGATTTATAGTTGGATTTGGCTTTCCTCCCCTAAAATCCAAGCATGTTGTTTAAATAAATTTTCGAGTTTCTGTATTATATCAAGAAGCTAATTGATGTAATAGTGAATAAATGAGGAATTTGTGGACTATCTTTTTTCTTTTCTTGGCTCTTTCTTTCAAGGCCTACACCCTCTCATAATTGTCATTTTTCAATGGTTGCATTTCCCAGTATACATACATGTGCAAGCAAATATTTCTCTGCTGACACTTATGTTTGAGTGCTGTACAGTCAATGAAGAACCACCTGATGACAATCTCTGGATGCTCTGGAAAATGAATTGGGCCATACCTCTTCGACTTCACTGGATCCAACTTAATCCATTTCAAGTGACACTCTGACCAAAGCCTCGAGTACTGACTTCAATCAAGTTGAGGATTTCAACCTAGATCTTCAATCAAGCAATTCCCATCTAACATGGACTGGAGATAACCCATTAGAGACTTTCCCTATAATAACATTTTTTCTCCACAGGATCCCACATTCTACCATCATCCCATTTCAGTGGGAAGTAACTTAGAAGATGCTACGCCCTGCCCCCATTATTGTTTATTAGGGTAGTGTAAGTCTAGTCAGGAATACCTTTCATATTGTTTAGAGTTGGGATTGGAAGGAGGTGTTCAAGTTAGACACCCTTTCCACATGACTTTAGGGCTTAGCAGGAATGCACATAATTAGGATGTGCAATAGCAGATTATTGTATCTTCTTGTATTTCACATTTATGATTGTTAATTTTGGATCTTTTACACTATTAAGTTTTAATCCTCTTTTAGACTAAAAGGGGAATTGTAGGGAGACACTGTAGCCCCGCCTCCTAATATCCCCTACAGATGTGCCTGGCCATGCCCATGAGTGCATGGTCGGGGAGGCCGAAGATGACACCCAGAGAATTCTTAAGAGGCCACAAACACGTGGATGCCCCCTCACTCTGGCCATGCCAACTTGCGGCCTCTGGGCATGCTCTGGCTTGCGTTTGGGCTGGCATTTATCTGAATAAAGAAATCTTAGCCTTATGGACTATGGATCATCTTTGAGTGCTTGCAATAGTCACTATATTTGACAAATGTGTTAATAATTAATTTTATGGTTAACTATTTGTGAGAGAGATAAAAATGACAGTCAGTGGCTATCAAGAATGTTGTATACTAAATAAAATATTTCTAATTCTTAATTAAGACAGAATATAATAAATAATAATACTAGAATATATTTAAAAATAATATTCAATACACTCATTCTGTAAGAGTTATTTCTTATTGTCATCAGTAATTAATAGACTGTTATGAACCTGCTGTCTGTGGATGTGTTTTAAGGTGCAGCATTTAAAATTATATAAAAAAAAAAACACAGCTTGCATACAGATGGTTGTTCTGTTGCTTTTACATCAGTGGGAAAAGAATATCAAAAAGTTAACCTAACATTTGAATTCCCTTTCTGTCACAGTTTTTGAATTGAAGATTTATGTGTTCTTTCCAAATAACAACATAATTACTAAAGTGAAAATTATCCTTCAAAATATACTGCAGTAAAGGGAAGTGACAGTATTATTTTCATTAGATTTTGCTCTAACAAAATTAGTGTCAATATATCTTATATTACTAAGAAATGTTTATATGCAATTGTACTTTTGTCCAAAATAAATATATATCAAATCAGTGGGAAAAGACATTTTGAAAATTAACTTTCCATGTTATATTACAAGATCTGATTTATTTTATTTCTTTGTTCTAACATAAGAAAGTAAAATCCAGGATCAATTTGGAAATAGAAAACAGCTTCATTTGCTAGTTTTTAGTTAAAGCTGCAAAAAATTATATTAGGAGAAATGTGTATTTACTATTCTCTTGGATAACTTAAAGTTGGATAATGAAACACTAAGCTTGTCCAAAACAAAATTAGCAACTTTTATAAGCAAACATAATTGCTTTGACATGTGATCCTAATAAAGTTATAACTAGATGACTATTAATTTAGGGGTCATCAGGGATCATGAGAATGCTCAAGAAGCTAAAATACTCCTGAAATAAAAAGTAATGAGAAAAACTTTAGGTTGGTTTTGTAAAAATAAAAGTTGTAAATCTAGATTTTTTTTTTCCCAAAATACTAGTGGACATGATTTAGGCCAAGTGGAGCTCAGTGTGTATAAACTATAAAATACCCCAATTATGTTGTATTATTTTCAATTGTGAAAATGTTTAAACATAATTTCACTTTCACATATGATTCAAGTTAAAAATAAATACATTTAAAAAATAAATAAATACATTTTTATTTCCTTTCCATACTGGATGTCCACTTTAAAATTATTAATATTATTTATAAAAATTATTTTTTTCTAACTAAATTATATTATATAATACTAAACACCATTAAAATTCAAATAGGAAGATTATTCATTGTATCTTTAAAAGATAATGTTTAAGTATGTTAATAAATTGAGATATAATGAAAAATATAGCTGTAAAGGATTTAAATATGGAGATAATTAATGGAGATTAAACCATGCAAAATATACAAAAAATTAATAGTTCTTTGATTAAACAAATATTGTAACTGTTTCTAAAGTTCATCCTTTTAAAAAAATATAACTTCAATAATATAAATCCAGGGGGAAATTAAATTTTGAAATAAAAATGTTTACCTTCAAAACTGTTAAATTAGTATGTAATTTTTATTCCAGTAGCATTGGTTTGAAAACCTGAATTATGCATATTATCATTCTCAGCTCTATGGCTAGACATTTATTCTTGGATCAGAGAGATGGACGAATCTCATTTGAGAAAGAAAAAGGGGAATGAAAAGCCTACTACAGTATGAATCATTCAGGGAACTGTAGCAATAGCTCTCACTCTCTCCCATACACTCCATGTTGAAAGGAACAGCAATATCAGCACAAATGTGTCTGGGAATACTGCCCCAGTGCCATCCTTGTGGGTTTTCATACTAAGACAAGTCACTAATTCAGAAGGTTAGACAGAATTTAGCAGAGTTCAAAGTCCTTTTAAGTTCATTCCTACATATTAAATTTTAATCATACTGCTTCCTAATTTAACTCAAATTCTCAAAATTTTTTTTATAAAGTGCTATAACTAAATGGCACAAAATTGATTTTAAGCTGCATGCACTCAGAAAACTAAACTAAGTGTCTAACACGAGTGCCTTGAAATATAATTATTTATAAAGATTTTTAATTTATTTTGTTAAAACAGAAAAAAGCAGAGGCTACAAAAATGGTTCAGTAGGTAAAACATCTGTCTCTGAATTCAGATTTCTGAATGCAGTCTGTGGGACTCACATGATGTAGAGATAACAGACTCCTACAAGTTGTCTTCAGGTCTCTTCATGTGTGGTATGTTAGACTTGTACACATGCAAGTGCCCAGACCTCTACATGAACACACACACACACACACACACACACACACACACACACACACACACATTGAATTTTTAGAAAGTAAATATACTTAAAACTAAAGTACACAGGGATAGAGAGATATCTAAGTGGGTATGAGCACCGTTTATTCATTCAGAGGACCATAGTTCAAAGCCCTGTGGAGTCTCACAACAGTCTGAAATTCCAGTTCCAGGAGTTTTAAAGACTTCTTCTGTTCTCTGCAGGCACAAAGCACACATGCATTACACAAACATACACAAGGTAAAAAGACCTTGAATATAAAATAAATAAAAGTTTGTAAAGTAAACAAAAAAGGTCAGCAATTTTGACATATGTTCAAAACATTGTCAAGTCCATTTGTATTTATATTTATTTGTCAGCATTTTACAACTTAATAATCAAAATATCTCATTAATAACTAATTGCTAGTTTATCTTCAAATAGAATTGATACATTAAATTCCAAAGATCTACAAAGTTGACCCCAACTAACAACCTAAGCAATAGTCGAAAGCCTAGATTAAATGTCCTTCTCCAATAATGAGATTGATGACTAATTTATATGCCATCCTAGAGCCTTCATCCAGTAGTAAGAAGACACAGACACCCATAGCTAAACACTGAGATGAACTATGGAACCCATTTGCAGCGAGTGAGGAATGATGAGCAAGTGATTCAAGATCATGCTAGAGAAACCAACAGAAACAGCTGACCTGAACAAGGGGTTGCTCATGGACCCCAGACGGATAGCTAGGAAACAAGCATAGGACTGTTCCAGACTCCCTGAACAAGGATGTCAGTTTTGAGGTCTGGTGAATCTACGGGGCCTCTGGTACTGCATCAGTATTTATCCCTAGTACATGAATGGACTTTGGGAATCCAATACACATGGAGGGATACTCTTTCAGCCTACACACATGGAGGAGGGTTTAGGCCCTGCTTCATATAATATGACAGACTTCGAAGATCCCCCATGCAAGGCCTCATCCTCCCTAGGGAGGAGAAAGGGGTTGGGATGGGGTTGGTGGAAGACAGGGAAGGATACCAGGTTGAGGGCACTTTGATAGACATGTAAATGAAGCATATTTCTAATTTTTTTTAACAAAAAGGAAAAAAATTAATGACAGTTAAGTATGCATTGGGAATTATGCATTCCAAAAGCCAAGTTTTGTGACTACAAAACCAGGCTCTATATTCAAGATACATATCTCATCCTTAAATTAAGATATTGATTTTTATTAGTACAAATTAGGAAGGAGCTCACTTCACATATCAATAACTTCTCCCTCTCCCTTCCCCGCCAATCCCCAAAGAGCTCCCCACCCCATCCTCCCTCCACTCCACAGGGAGGTTAGGGCCCTCCATGTGGGTACCCAAAGCCTACTATATCATCCTGGGCCAGGCCTAGGCCATCACCCGTGTGTCACTAGAGATCATCCCTTCACATGGAATGGGCTCTCAAAGTCCCTTCTTACATCAGGGAAAAATACTGATCCACTACCAGGGGCCCCATAGAGTGCTGAGCTGTCCTCATTGACATCCACATCTGGATCCCGCCTGTGCTGGCCTCCCAAACAGTAGTCTTGGGTCCATGTGATCCAAGTTGTTCAGGCCAGCTGTTTCTGTGGGTTTCACCAGCCTGGTCCCGACCTATTTGATCTTCATTCCTCCCTCTCTGCAACTGGGTTCCAGAGTTCAGTTCAGTGTATAGCTGTGGGTGTCTGCCTCTGCTTCCATCAGCCACTGGATGAGGGCTCTAGGATGGTGTATAAAGTAGTCATGAATCTCATTATAGCCAAAGGGCATTGGGATAGCCTCTGCACCATTGCCTAGATTGTCAGTTGGTGTCATCTTTGTAGATCTCTGGAAATTTCCCTAGTGACAGATCTCTCCTCCAACCTATAATGGCTCCCTCTGTTATTGTATGTCTCATCCTGCTCTCCTGTATTCTTCCCCCGACTCAACCTTTCTGCTCCTCCATTTACTCATCTCCCCTCCTCTTCTCCTCCTCTCATTCTGCCAGCTCCCTCTCCCCTACCCCCATGTTCCCAATTAGCTCAGGAGATCTTGACCCTTCCCATTCTCTGGGGTCCGTGAATTTTTCTCTTAGAGTCCTTCTTGTTTCCTAGTTGCTTTGGTGAAGAGGATTGTAGGCTGGTAATACTTTGCTCTATGTCTAAACTTCATATATGAGTGAGTACATACCATGTTTGTCTTTTTGTAACTGGGTTATCTCATGCAGGATGGTTTCTTCTAGTTCCATCCATTTGCCTGCGAATTTCAAGATTCCATTGCTTTTTTTCTGCTGATTAGTCATCCATTGCCTAAATGTACCACATTTTCTCTAACCATTCTTCAGTTGAGTGGCATCTAGGTTGCTTCCAGGTTCTGGCTATTACAAAAAATGCTACTATGAACATAGTTGAACATATGTCCTTTTTGTATGAATGTGCATTATTTGGGTATATGCCCAAGAGAGAAATTGCTGGATCTTGAGGTAGACAGATTCTCATTTTTCTGAGCAACTGCCATACTTATTTCCAAAGTGGTCTTACAAGTTTGCACTGCCACCAGCAATGGAGGAGTGTTCCTTTTTCTCCACATCCTCTCTAGCATAGACTATCATTGGTAAAGTAAGAAGAAAGAAACTAAAGAAGATACCAGAAAATGGAAAGATCTCCCATGCTCTTGGATAGATAGGATCAACATAGTAAAAATGGCAATCTTTACAAAAGCAATCTACAGATTGTCATAAAAACAGACATTGTCCTTTCATTTCTATATTATTAGTATCCATATAAAATGCAAAATGTTCAACTATGTTTTTCAGAGTTAACATAGTTTATCATATCTGGATTGTGGTATGGAGCAGAATGAATTATTGTATCCAATGCAGGCATCAAATCTGCATTTCTCTTATGTCCGCATCAAGAGTACAAGTTCTGGACTAATTCATAATTACCACCACTTATGGCTTTAAAATAAAGTGGAAATTTACCACTATTTAACATTCTAATGCTCAATCTCACCAGTAATTTTGAGCAGTATTCCAAGGCATCACTACAACCTGAGATGTTAATTCACTCAGTTATTTAGTTGAATTTTGGGGGATTTATAAATTGATGATCAGAATTTCAGAGAAAACATATGAAATTAAAGTACATAAAATAAACCATTTAAGCCATAAAAAGCACACAATTTTGTAAGCAATAGAATTTGAAATGATAATTTGAGATAATTACAATGTTGTTGAAAATATCTCAATTCAGTATTTGTGTTTTTAACTGTCCTTTTTTCATCCATGAATAATGGTTTGATGGTCTTCAAAGAATGATATAGTGAAGAACATTAAATTAATATTGCCTGACACAAGTGTTTTTAAATACTGAGAAAAACTAGTTATTATTTATTTCATGAAATTTATATTAATTTTAATAAAAATTTACTTAATATTAAACTGATCCCAATGTTTAATATCACTTTAAGGTTTCCTTATTCCCACTGATTTAGAATTTTGAATGCTAGCTGTATGGCTTCTGATAGTATTTGAGTTAAACACAAGGATTTTAGATAAAAGGCATTGATCTGTCAGTGGGCTTTCACATGTCTTTGATCTCTCTGTGGTGTCTGCTCAAAATTTGCTACATGTTATTAAAATTATTATAATGTTTCAAAGATTATTTTAATATAGTGAAAACAGCTTTTTACTAGTCAAGAAAGTTTGTCATATCTTCTTTCATGCAGATTTTGACTCCTGAAATCCATTACATATAAACATTTTCCGGTTTTCAGAAATCTTTTTAAATGTCCACATTACCAAAATATATAGCAGTAAAAGATTATTTAATACACAGACAAAAATGATTCAGATATTTATATTGGGAAATTACCAATACAGAGTCAGGTAGAAATACAAGGGTATTTAATAGGGAAAAGCCTTACTTACAGAGCGACCTAGCCAATCGGCGGGGCAGCTATCTCTGTAGCAAGCCCAAAAGTGAAACCGAAAGAGAAACGCAGTCCCCTGAAAGTCTCACTCTACATCAGCCTGACCATGCCCTTGCAAGCGTGGTCAGGCACAACTGTAGCCTAAGTAGGCGTGGCTACAGCTTCTCCTACAATTCCCCTTTTAGTCTAAAAGAGGATTAAAACTTAACAGCTTAAAGTATCCAAAATTAACAATCATAAAGGTAAAATATAAGAAGATACAACAATCTGCTTATATCACAACCTAACTATTTTAACTAAACGCTAAAGTCATCTGAGAGAGGTGTCCAAGCCTGAACACCTCCTTCCAATCCCAACCATAAATAATAGGAAGCTATCCCTAACTAGGTATATACACTATCCTAAGAGACAACAATGGGGGAAGGGGGTGTAGCATCATCCAAGTTACTTCCTGCTGAAATGGGACGACGATAGCCTTGTGGGTTCCTGAAGGAAGAAAATGTTAGTATAGTGAAAGCTTTGAACTGATGGTATCCAGTCCATGTTAGATGGGATTCACTTGAAGATCTCACTTGAAATCCTCAACTTGATTGAAGTCAGTACCCGAACCTCTGGCCAGAGTGTGAGTTGAAATGGAGCAAGTTGTATCCAGTGCAGTTGAGGAGGTGTGACCCATTTTCTTTCCAGGGTGTCCAGGGATTGCTGTCAGGCAGGTCTTCATTGGCTGTGTGGGACTCAAACATAAACAGCAGAGAAATGTTTGCTTGTGTATGTACACATGCTGAGTAATGCAACCATGAGAGCATAACAATTATGAGAGAAAGATTGAAGAAAAGACAAAGACAGTCCCCAAATTCTTATTTTATTCTGTATTGCATCAATTGGCTTCTTGATACAATACAGAAACTATAAAGTTTAGTTAAATAACGTGCTTGGATTTTAGAGGAGGAAAGTCAAATCCACCTCTAAATCCAGCATTGGTTTAATTGAATAGGGACTAGGAAATGAAGAGAAATACAGTTCTCTGAGAGACAGCTGTAAAGCTTACCGTATGGCATGTTCCTTTTGTTTGATGATGCTTAAGCATCTACCCATGCAGTGTCTTTTACCTTGTGGAGATGAGTTTTCCTGTGAAGATAAAAGCAAAACACTTTCCTTTCCTTTGGGAGGTTTCTATTTAATTTATGAGATATACCTTAGTACAATACCTGTCATTTGTCCTAGTCGAGAGGTTTTTCTTTTTCCACTCGAATCTTGATCAACATTGATGCTATCCAAAGTTTTTCTTCTCCTGTGGAAACCAATGCAAAATCCCTATCCCAACCTAACACATGTCCTGGTTTCCATACAGAGGTTAGTACATCTTTCAAGTATACTGGCTGATTCAGGTCAGCAGGTTTTCCTGTAGTCCAGTGTCTTTCTGCAGCTGTTTATCCTTTTTCATTGGCATTAAGAAAGTTTAGTGTTAATAAAGAATTATGCAACCTATGTTTGGGGGGTTAGTCTTCCAAGGTTGTTTGTTGAGCATCTCCTTAAGTGTTCTATAAGATCTCTCAACCACTGCTTGTCCTGTAAGATTGTGTGGTATACCAGTGACATGCTTTATATTATATTATTTGAAAAATTGTTCCAATTTTGTAGAGACATATGGTGCAGCATTGTCAGTTTTTATATGTCCAGGGATACCCATAACTGCCATCACCTCTAGCACGAGTGTAATAACAGAATCAGCTTTTTCAGAGTTAAGAGCAGTAGTCCATTG